TTACGGTATGGAATGGTGTTAACATTTATCATACATGTAACAACTGGGATACACAGATATAGGCCCACCACAACATCATCATATTTCAAAGGGTGCTTCGGTGGCACAGTGGATAGCACAATTGCTTTTCACCAAGGCGGCCAGGGTTCGATTCCCAGATCGTACATGAAACGTATGGGGGTCCTGCCTGACCAGGTGGGTTTTCTCCAGGTCCTCCAAGTCCTCCAACATTAAGACCCCCCGTCCTAACATCGGGGCCAACAAAAGTGATTAATATAAGTTGTAAAAATTTGTTTCATAATTGTTTTTCAAAATAACTAAAGTTATAACTAAATCATGTTATTTCAATGATTGCTTTATTCTAATGTCTATCTTCCATACAAAAAATTATACATATACACAAAAACTGCTCAGTAGCCCAACTGGGGATCAGGCAGGTGCATGAGAACAGAGAAATGGACATTGGACGATGCCGAATGTTTTTAATGAATTTTATTTTGAGTCATCTATTTCATATTTTTCAACTGCCAGTTTGCTAAAACAAACCTATCGAAAATTATCATGGCATCCCTGAAACCACCACCTCTCTATGCATGGTATTGGCCCTTTCTTACGTGACTCTAGTTATATCACCTTATAGGGGTCACCCCAACCATGTAGTTCCATTATGTTAACACGTAATTGTCTTAAATCATTCACCCCTGCAATTTCATAATGAACTATTCCAACCTTTGAATTGGAAGAGTTCAAATGTGTCTTCAGGGGTGAATGAGTTAACATTGACTTTAATTACAGTTGCAACATCCCCGCTACAGGTCAGCAACCCATGTACTGTAAAAAGTCATATTTTTTGTGATTCCTAATTTGCTGATCCACTAAAAAGGTTGTTTTCATATATATGTTCTGTATATATTTCATGGATTTCAGGTCTAGCAGCAATGACACATAGTTCTATGGTAGGGATTTGTGGATGTATTTGCTTTTTTATTTCACATGTATTTTTTTGCTGAAATATTGTTGCAGCAAAAATTGCACAAATTAGAACCTTGCGAAAGGAAAAAGCTTCCAGTATTCCTTCTACTGCCCCCCCTCCCCCTATATTGATGCCTGTTACCTAGCTGCCTCTTCTCTTGTTCTATCATTAGAGGTGGTGGCTGTGGATTGAATTATCTTCTGTAGATAACCCAGACGCTGGCGGCGGAAAAGACAATGCTCTGACCTCAATACCTAACATACCTGTTGCATTATTTCAGATGTTTTTTTGTAGATTTAACATTGTAATGCTGTAAAGCAGTCTATTTTGCATTGGTTTTTTAATTTTTATTCATTTTTGGCTTGGTTATCATTCTAAACTCCTGCCAGAATATTTCAAGTCTGGAAACCCTGATTAAATGAAAGATTTTTACGGGATATAACACGAAAGAAAAATGAAAGAAATTACGGGATATAGCATGAAATGAAAACTCTTCCTTACAGGGAATTTGTTTTAAAGACACAACACCGTGAAAGTTTGAGCCCACAAAACTACAGCGTTAGGCGAGCCTGCTGTTTGAAGCTAGAATTCCCTAGAAGTTGTCATTAGCAACTACCTGTAAATGAAGACCACCTTTCAATAAAGACCTCCAGTATATTTCAGATCACATGATATAAACAATGTCCGTGTATTAATGAGACCATCTGTAAGACTACTGGTACCTGTGGGTATGAAGTCCATTTGTGAATAAATACTACATTTATGTAAGCAGACTCCCTGCGTAAAGAGATCACCTGTATCAAAAGACTACCTTATTTGTTAAAAAAACTTGTGTTAAAATGCAACATATGTATAGGGCCATCTGTGTATAAAGACCCTTTCAAGCTTGTATACAGACTTCTAGTTGATAAAGGCCATCTATGTAGAAGACCATCTGTGTATAAAGACCAGCTGTGTATAAAGATATTGTGTATACAGATCTAGACTATTGCTGATAAAGGCCATCTATGTAGAAGACCATCTCTATATAAAGATCCTGTGTATACAGACTATAGTTGATAAAGGCCATCTATGTAGAAGACCATCTGTATATAAAGATCCTGTGTATACAGACTATAGTTGATAAAGGCCATCTATGTAGAAGACCATCTGTATATAAAGATCCTGTGTATACAGACTATAGTTGATAAAGGCCATCTATGTAGAAGACCATCTGTATATAAAGATCCTGTGTATACAGACTATAGTTGATAAAGGCCATCTATGTAGAAGACCATCTGTATATAAAGATCCTGTGTATACAGACTATAGTTGATAAAGGCCATCTATGTAGAAGACCATCTGTATATAAAGATCCTGTGTATACAGACTATAGTTGATAAAGGCCATCTATGTAGAAGACCATCTGTATATAAAGATCCTGTGTATACAGACTATAGTTGATAAAGGCCATCTATGTAGAAGACCATCTGTATATAAAGATCCTGTGTATACAGACTATAGTTGATAAAGGCCATCTATGTAGAAGACCATCTGTATATAAAGATCCTGTGTATACAGACTATAGTTGATAAAGGCCATCTATGTAGAAGACCATCTGTATATAAAGATCCTGTGTATACAGACTATAGTTGATAAAGGCCATCTATGTAGAAGACCATCTGTATATAAAGATCCTGTGTATACAGACTATAGTTGATAAAGGCCATCTATGTAGAAGACCATCTGTATATAAAGATCCTGTGTATACAGACTATAGTTGATAAAGGCCATCTATGTAGAAGACCATCTGTATATAAAGATCCTGTGTATACAGACTATAGTTGATAAAGGCCATCTATGTAGAAGACCATCTGTATATAAAGATCCTGTGTATACAGACTATAGTTGATAAAGGCCATCTATGTAGAAGACCATCTGTATATAAAGATCCTGTGTATACAGACTATAGTTGATAAAGGCCATCTATGTAGAAGACCATCTGTATATAAAGATCCTGTGTATACAGACTATAGTTGATAAAGGCCATCTATGTAGAAGACCATCTGTATATAAAGATCCTGTGTATACAGACTATAGTTGATAAAGGCCATCTATGTAGAAGACCATCTGTATATAAAGATCCTGTGTATACAGACTATAGTTGATAAAGGCCATCTATGTAGAAGACCATCTGTATATAAAGATCCTGTGTATACAGACTATAGTTGATAAAGGCCATCTATGTAGAAGACCATCTGTATATAAAGATCCTGTGTATACAGACTATAGTTGATAAAGGCCATCTATGTAGAAGACCATCTGTATATAAAGATCCTGTGTATACAGACTATAGTTGATAAAGGCCATCTATGTAGAAGACCATCTGTATATAAAGATCCTGTGTATACAGACTATAGTTGATAAAGGCCATCTATGTAGAAGACCATCTGTATATAAAGATCCTGTGTATACAGACTATAGTTGATAAAGGCCATCTATGTAGAAGACCATCTGTATATAAAGATCCTGTGTATACAGACTATAGTTGATAAAGGCCATCTATGTAGAAGACCATCTGTATATAAAGATCCTGTGTATACAGACTATAGTTGATAAAGGCCATCTATGTAGAAGACCATCTGTATATAAAGATCCTGTGTATACAGACTATAGTTGATAAAGGCCATCTATGTAGAAGACCATCTGTATATAAAGATCCTGTGTATACAGACTATAGTTGATAAAGGCCATCTATGTAGAAGACCATCTGTATATAAAGATCCTGTGTATACAGACTATAGTTGATAAAGGCCATCTATGTAGAAGACCATCTGTATATAAAGATCCTGTGTATACAGACTATAGTTGATAAAGGCCATCTATGTAGAAGACCATCTGTATATAAAGATCCTGTGTATACAGACTATAGTTGATAAAGGCCATCTATGTAGAAGACCATCTGTATATAAAGATCCTGTGTATACAGACTATAGCTGATAAAGGCCATCTATGTATAATGACCACCTGTGTATAAAGATCCTGTGTATACAGACTATAGTTGATAAAGGCCATCTATGTAGAAGACCATCTGTATATAAAGATCCTGTGTATACAGACTATAGCTGATAAAGGCCATCTATGTATAATGACCACCTGTGTATAAAGATCTTGTGTATACAGACTATAGTTGATAAAGGCCATCTATGTAGAAGACCATCTGTATATAAAGATCCTGTGTATACAGACTATAGCTGATAAAGGCCATCTATGTATAATGACCACCTGTGTATAAAGATCTTGTGTATACAGACTATAGCTGATAAAGGCCATCTATGTAGAAGACCATCTGTATATAAAGATCCTGTGTATACAGACTATAGCTGATAAAGGCCATCTATGTATAATGACCACATGTGCATAAACCCTGTATATACTATTACCCTGTATATAAAGCCTACCTATATGTATTAGGCCATCTGTTCATATAAAAAAACACCTGCATTATAAAGACCATCTTGTTTATGAACACCACCTGTTAGGCAACCTTATGAATAAAACTATATAAGACCACCTCCGTTTAAAGACCACCTGTATATATAGACCATATACTAGTATAATGCTGTTACGCCATGTGTATAACGAATACTTATGTAAAAGACCAAATCAAACAATTTTATACAACTACATGTATTTTAGTTTTGTAATTAATTAAATCAAAATTTAATTAATGAACACGGATTAAAAGATGAAGTTTCATACATGTACGTGCTAGGGCCTGAATATAAGATGTGAATGAAATTTAAAACCATTCGCACTAAACTGGGATAGGACTGGGTATGCATTGTTACTGATAACACAGCTTTACACTGATTTATCAATACTAACATGAGCAATATGGCCACGTGGCAAAATCATTTAATCTGTGGTACAAATAAGTGGTAACAGGTTGTTAACTTACTGTACATAGTTTATCATAGGGGTTCTGGACTTTGCATTGGACTGAAATTTTATTGAGTCTTCAGATCTTTTTATTGTATACATACACATATGTCTCGGACTCGCAGCAGTAACTGTAGGCCACATCTGCCACATCTGATGATTCTCCAGGTGTTTTCACCCTGAAACTAAATGTGAAGTTTTATTTGTAAGGCTTATGGATAAAGTATTCAGTATTTAATGATACACGCTATTCTGCACCTTGTCTTTTCGGATTTATTTGTGGTGTTTTCGGGGGCGAGAAAATTGGGGTATAATGACTAAATACTGTTGCACCTACTGTGTACATCAGTTGAATAGATATCAAGCTGCTGTGTTTACAAAATTTCTGCTGACAAATCTCTTTTTGCAGAAAGAAAGTTTACTTCTAAAACCATCACTGGGTACAATATTAACCAAAAAATAAATGCTGACCTCCTGCCGGCTAAATATATATCTACTGCTGGATGTGTGTAGGGGAGGGATGTATACTGAGGAAAGCGTGTCCCCTTAGAGCTCAGGGAATTAGTACTGTGTGTGGACTTCATAGGATTGTGTGGATGTCATTCCAACAAAGTTTGTGCATGTGCTAGGACATCATCATTCTAATTGCAAAGTATGCTTGTAGGCATGTGTGTTATGTCTAAAGTGGACCTGTATGATGTCATAAAGATAACTAAATACAGTCGGAATGCTTATCTCACAGGAGTATAACCCAGAGGAGGTTTCAAGACATATACCAAAACAACAATCCCAGTTTATGGATACCCCAGTTCATGTGATACTGACACCTAATCAGCAGTAAAGAATAACAGATGTTGATGATGTGGCAAATTACCAGCCTGGTCAGACTTCAACGTTAAACTTAAGTGGATGATATTGATTTATACCCCGGATGTGAAGTTCTCAAACTTACTGACGGAGATAACGACTTCAGTTCTTGGTTTTATGAATAGTGTTGGAATTTAGTGATCAAGGTCAAAGGTCAGGGGATTTTAAGTTGGTCCTGGTCTACAAGGCTTCATGTATATACCAGCTGTAGCCTAAGACTGAAGGATGTACATGCAAATATATGCATGTTGTACATAGAACTTCACTGTAACTAGAAGTTAAAAAAATATCTTCATGATCACTAGATGCTATACAGTTTTAACATTTGTGTAGACTTGTTGAATTTTGTCATCAGACAAAATATTTTTCAACTTTAAAATAAAATGACTTCCTGATATGTATTAGAAAAAAATGATGGGACAGACTGTTACACAAATCAGAAATGAATTTTGATTAAATGATGAGGGGACATGGAAAAGAGTTTTGAGGATGTTTATAGCGCTGGTTGGTATTCTTGTCTGCCTGATGAGCCGGGGTCGAGGAGTGGAAGGCCTTCAACAGTACTGCCTAGACCAGTCCTGTGGCATACAGGCCTCATGTACGTATTCTGTGGCAATTTTATAGGCCTCGCTTATTTATTCTGACACATACAGGCCTAGCCTCTTGTAGGTATTCAGGGACAAGCAGGCTTTAGATATACATGTAAGTGTTTGTGAAATACAGGCTTCCTTCGAGTATTCTGGGTAAAAAGGCTTCCTATGATTATTCTGGGTAAAAAAGCTTCCTACGAGTATTCTGGGTAAAAAGGCTTCCTACGATAATTCTGGGTAAAAAAGCTTCCTACGAGTATTCTGGATAAAAAAGCTTCCTACAAGTATTCTGGATAAAAAAGCTTCCTACGAGTATTCATGGTGAAAAAGCTTCCTACGAGTATTCATGGTGAAAAAGCTTCCTACGAGTATTCATGGTGAAAAAGCTTCCTACGAGTATTCATGGTGAAAAAGCTTCCTACGAGTATTCATGGTGAAAAAGCTTCCTACGAGTATTCATGGTGAAAAAGCTTCCTACGAGTATTCATGGTGAAAAAGCTTCCTACGAGTATTCATGGTGAAAAAGCTTCCTACGAGTATTCATGGTGAAAAAGCTTCCTACGAGTATTCATGGTGAAAAAGCTTCCTACGAGTATTCATGGTGAAAAAGCTTCCTACGAGTATTCATGGTGAAAAGGCTTCCTACGAGTATTCATGGTGAAAAAGCTTCCTACGAGTATTCATGGTGAAAAAGCTTCCTACCAGTATTCATGGTGAAAAGGCTTCCTACGAGTATTCATGGTGAAAAAGCTTCCTACGAGTATTCATGGTGAAAAAGCTTCCTACCAGTATTCATGGTGAAAAGGCTTCCTACGAGTATTCATGGTGAAAAAGCTTCCTACGAGTATTCATGGTGAAAAAGCTTCCTACCAGTATTCATGGTGAAAAGGCTTCCTACGAGTATTCATGGTGAAAAAGCTTCCTACGAGTATTCATGGTGAAAAAGCTTCCTACCAGTATTCATGGTGAAAAAGCTTCCTACCAGTATTCATGGTGAAAAGGCTTCCTACGAGTATTCATGGTGAAAAGGCTTCCTACAAGTATTCTGGGTTAAGGACTTCCCACCCTTCGTAATACACATGTTTTTCTTGTCGTATTTTCGTGTCGTCATTTCCGTATCTGTCACTGACACTGTCACTGATATAAGATCAGACGACTTCCAGAAGGTCGTATATGAGGCGCATGGAATACAGACTGATGTGTTTTGTTTACCGACCTCACCTGTACATATCACAAGCTAACAGTAGTTCACAAGCTCTTGGTCGCTACGACTTTTGTTGTCGAGCGAGTTACGCTCTGTCAGATAAATCGTTTCACAAATGCAATAACTCTCTGAAAATAGTGGTTTGTAAAATATCAAGATCTCTATAAAATGCAAGTGCATGTGCTTGCACGTAATAACGGCATACCATGCGATAGCCTAAATATACCATGCACATGGTAAGCGGGCTATGGAATGATGTCCAAAGTGTACATGATTGAGAGTAATTTTGTTCCATAAAAGAACAGTAAATTGACAATTAAATATAGTAATTTAATTTATTTCCGTCGTTTTTGGTATAGTAAAGAAAATAAGTGTCATTGTATAAATTCTATCCCTCTGCAAAAAGTTCCAATTTTTTTCAAGGTAGACAAATCTCATCAGGATTAAAATTATTGTAAAATGTAAAATAAATGAATTATAAAGACTTTGTGTGTATTTGGTTCAATTTTTCACTCTTTTTGTATGACACTATGTGTCCTGTTTGCTTTAAGCTTGTATTTAGTAATTTTTATCCATACAATTTCAATAAAAAACGCTTTTTGTAACATGTTGTAGATATTTTATGATAAATAAAATATTCTGGGTAAAAAAGCTTCCTACAAGTATTCTGGGTAAAAAGGCTTCCTAAGAGTATTCTGGGTAAAATCTATCTTATAGGTTAATAAAAGGTATATCTGGATACAGGTGTCTGGTAGATATAGGCATTCAGAGACATATCAGTCTCCATTATGTTCTGACATTATGTGACCTTCAGATCACATTTAGTTAATGCTACAGTAGCAGACAGGCCTTACAAAGAATTAGATATTCTAGGAAATACAGTCAGTTCTGATGTTGGTATCCTGGGACACACATGTAGCTAATATGCAGCAAGCACACTTATCATTGTTTTGTTTTTGATGTCCCCAAGAAACTGGTTTCCAACGCTTACACTGTGCCTGACTGTCCACTTTTCCATCAGCAATTATTCTTTTCTGATGTTAATTTGTTTAGGGAAGTAAAATTCTAAGTAGTTCACCAGCTACATACTGTAATTCCATTATCTTCTAGCTCTTCACTGAAAACTTCCCTATTTATACTCAGATGGTAAATATTTCAGTTTAGGTCTATATATAAACTTAATATCATAGGGGGCAAAGATGACCTATAATTGTCGATAGTACTGTGATGAGCAGCTGAAAATACAGGTATAATGTGAGAAGACACTTTATTACATTTTTACCTCTGAAGTATTAGGAACAATCCATTTGATAAAAATTTAAATCATGAAATGTAATATATATCTTCACTCTTAGTATTGTCCAATCAGAACAGTACTTGCAATTCACTGAGTAGATTTTCAGTATTTTCAGTCTCAAGTTCAGATAAAGTGACTGCAGATTACATATTGTATTCACATAACTGCACAATAGATATCGCTTTGTTTGGAAATCTTACCAATAATACCAGCAAACAGCAAAATTGCCTTGAGAAGCCCAATCGCACTCTGCCTTATTGCTGTCAATCATGACATCATTATAATCTGGTGTAAAATATTACAGTACTTTAAATTCCTGTGTATGAGAAGATGGAGCAGTATTTGTTTTTAAAAAAATCATTCACTCATATCGCAGAATACTTAATATCGTATGGCACTGCCACCATATAAACCTACCAAATTAAGTTGGCATTCATATAGGCTATGAATGCCATGGACCGATAGTTGACGTCATTGTTATTATGACATCATAATTGTTACGTTGGATACCATGCTTCATTGAATTTGCTTTTGTCAAGTTGGCATTCATATTGCCTGTGTGTAAATTAATGCAAAACTAAAAGCAGTTCAATGCTGATATGTATTTTCACTGTGCTTAGCACTTGTGAAAAATATATCGATATTCTGCCATACTTGTCAAGTACATATGATATTCAACGGGAAACTGTGAAATATCCTGTATTTATTATATACCTGGTGATTAAGTAACTTTAAGCAGGTTTGGAGAAAGAATAAACCTGCTGTATCTTGCTGCATGTCTCACGGCTGGCAACAGTACCTTTTGTTGGTATCTCCCCAGACAACCATCTACATATTTCCATTGCTGTTGTGAGGATGTTAAACCTAAAACAGTTCAGCCAGTTTCAGGGTGTACAGTAAAAGATAAAAGTCTGATTTGGTTGGAACTTATCGGTTGTTTCCACCGATCAAGCCGACCAAGTGAAACGTGAATCAGGGTTCCAAAAATGTTAGTGTCGTTTTACACTTATGATGGGTTATGTTTTGCAGAAAATAGAATATGTATATAAAAACAATCGTAGGCATGTGACAAAAGTAATACTATATTTTAATCTGATGTCGCAGAAAGTGCACAATGTATCTCAAACATGTCCACATCCTCTCATTAGCTGTCAATAATATACTGTAAACTAACGTATTTTGATGTATTCAAATTTTAGCCCATTATCAAACCTCAGATTCATCGAATACCATGTTTATCTCGAGCTATTGATCTGGACCCTACGAGTTCGAGTAAACAGGATTTTACTGTATATATACAAACTTGTATATTCATTTGAACAAAAGTTTGTGTTATTTGTAACATCAGCTAAGTACAAGTAAAATTTCGAAGTTCATCTTATAATTCCGACTATATGAAATGTTGTGATTTTAAAAGACCCTATATTCATGTAATTATTTCATTTTCAGCCTGTCCATGTGTGATGTGGTAATTATACAGCTATTTTTATTCTGACAGATCAAAGAAGCAGTAACGACTACGATGAGATTGCTGTTGGGAGGAAGGATAAAGTTGTGGAAATGTCCATGCCGAGCAGTCTGTCAATTGAGGTCACGTCCAGTAAGGCTTCGGCCTTCATTTCTGTCGACGGCACAACGGTCAGTAGATATATACCCATAGAGACATATGATAAAGATAAAAAATAAAGCTAAAACCACATACTACATAAAATAATGATATTTGGGAGGTCGGGTGGCGTGGCGCAGTGGATAGCGCACTCACCAAGGCGACCAGGGTTTAATTTTCTGATCAAGCGTGAAAAGGTTTAGGGTCACCTGCCTGACCACATGGGTATATATTCTCTGTTTTATAATTGTTGTAAAATAAATAAAGTTTGAATTTATAAACAATATTTTAACTGGGTGTAAAATTTACAGCGTTCCAAATACCTGTACAACCTTTCTCTTTGGTGTCATTTTTATATCAGAGCTGTTCTATGGTTCTCGTACACTTTCATCATGTACTGTATCTCCTATAGTACGTCCTAAATTAACCACATAATGAATTTTTCTTCAGATTAAAAGACTTTTCATTTCATATGAGATATGAAAGATATATGACTCCAGTCTGGAAGTTTTGAATTTTGCAAGGCACTAATTATAATGAGCTTCAGTGAAAGACCGGTTGAATTGTATGATCCACTGATATCTAGGTGTTGTCATTCAATCTGTCAAAGTATATAAATTTAACCAGAACAAAACTGTGTGGTCAACCATAAGCTCTAGAGCATTTAACCGCATCTAAGCCTCACCCTGTGCTGGAGCCTTTGAGGGCCCTAGTTTGAGTCCTGTCTTCAAAGGCAGTATCTGTTGGACCATTAGTGTGTAGATATTGTTTATATTGGGGCAGCCTGTAGTGAAATTACGGAGTCTGCCTAAAATTGTGTGCTATATAATTGTATGTGTAATAAAATACAGGTATAGTATAGTAAAGAAGAACGTGAGATAAATTAAACAAAATATACAATGCCATGTTTTGTATTTCAGGTATTACAGGATGATGAACCAGACAGATCTCGGGGGATCCACATCGCCGTCCTGAACCAGGCCACTGTACGTACAGTCTTAGTGCAATGTACCACGTCTCGTTATACCCCATACACCCCACCCCTTTAGGGCCAGAGGAGTAGCACCACCCCTTTAGGGCCAGAGGAGTAGCACCACCCCTTTAAGGCCAGAGGAGTAGCACTACCCCCTTAGGGCCAGAGGAGTAGCACCACCCCCTTAGGGCCAGAGGAGTAGCATGGAATCAGATTGTTTTTGTGTCTGTCTGTGGATAAAATCTTGTCTGAACAGCTCCTCTTAAGTTGATAAACCATTTCAACAAAACTTTGGTACATCTTGAAGATATGCACCTAATATTTTTCCTGGAGTTATTGCCCTTTTTTATTTTATTTTGTTGTCATTTCAAGCCTTGTACAAACATGTTTTCCAACATTAAGTGACCAATTACAATAAAATTTTCTTAGAGTGATACCTAGAGGATAATCTTTACACTAGATTGCCAACTTTTAATCTTTTCATTTCGAGATGGCCACTACTAAAGGACGGTCTCGCTAGCTGCGGCTATCTAATGACCTGAAAAACAGTGCGAACTCTGATTGACTGATACCATATTAGTTATAAATTGAGTTCTATGGGGCCAGTATAGTAAATATTTTGTGTGAGTGATACGTATACATAGGGGATAAACTATTCATCACATTGCCAGTTTTAATTTTTGGGATCCAAGATGGCTGCCATGACCTCTGATTGGCCAAGACAATAATATAATGGTGATAATTTGAGTTCTATGGGGGCTGTCTTTGTTGATACTTTGTTTGATTGATTCATAGAAGATACACTTCGTAATAAAAGGTGACTTTTAAGTTTTGGGAGTCAATATGGCTGGCATGGCCTCTGATTGGCCAAGACAATAATTATGATAACTGAATTCTATATGTCTGTTTTTAGGTCACCTGAGACAAAATCTCAAGTGACCTATTGCAATCGCCTTTTGTCCGTCGTCCTCCGTCGTCCGTTGTGCTTCCGTAAACAATTTACATTTTCGACTTCTTCTCCAAAACCCCTGAACCAATTTCAACGAAATTTTGCAGAAACCTTCCATGGTCAACAAAAATAGTTGCCGGTTTGGTCCTCGGCCCCCAGGGACCTGAGGGGCGGGGCCAAAAAGGGTCAAATTGACTAAAATTTCAAAAATCTTCTCTCCAGACCCAGATATGCTAGAATCAAATACTCTTCATAGATGGAAGGGTCTTAAGGTGCTTTACCTGGGGAGGGGGTAAACTTTACTATAGTTTATGTAGGGAAATCACATTTTGGACCAACATTTGTTTAATTTCCATCGGAAGTAATTAAATTTAGGTTAGCATTATCAGTATTGGGTAGCAGTTTGATGGCATGGACATATGAGCCCTGACTGACCCCCCGGGGCTGATGGGAGGGACCAAAAAGGGTCGAATTGACTGGAATTTCAAAAATCTTCTTCTCAAGACCCAGATATGGTAGAATCAAACACTCTTCATAGATGGAAGGGTCTTAAGGTGCTCTACCAAAATAGTGAATTTTATTACCCTGGGGTCTCACGTGTACCCCTGGGGAGGGGGTAAACTTTGCTATAGTTTATATAGGGAAATCACATTTTGGACCAACATTTGTTTAATTTCCATTGGAAGTTATTCAATTTGGGTGAGCATTATCAGTATTGGATAGCAGTTTCATGGTATGCACATATCAGCCCTGACTGACCCCCTGGGGCTGATGGGTGGGCCAAAAAGGATTGCATCGACTGAAATTTCAAAAATCTTCTTCTCAAAGACCCAGATATGGTAGAATCAAACACTCTTCATAGATGGAAGGGTCTTAAGGTTTATGACCCTAGGGTCTCACGTTTACCCCATGGGGAAGGAGGGGGAGGGGGATTTGTTATGGTTTATAATGGCAAATGATACTTTGAATATTACATGTTAATAACTTGATTGGAATTATAACCTTGAGTTGACAGTTTGATACTTTGAAAATTTTGAGCCAACCCTTCCCCCAAGGGCTGTAGGGTGGGGCCCAAAGGAGTCCGTGTGCTAAAATTTCTTCCTTTTCCTTGTTTAGAATCAGAGGTGCTAGTTTCAAATACTTTTTAGTCTTAAATCTGTATGCTAGATATTGAATAAGGTGGTTTTATTTTTTTTTGTCACTTTGAATAATATTTCTGTTCATGTTAAAACCAAATCAACTCTCTGTATAAATATATCAGGTGACCGTTAAGGCCCAAGGGCCTCTTGTTGTTTATACTTTGTTAGAGTGATATATAGGTGATGTACTTTGTATTAAAAAATGTTGTAATTAAGTTTCAAGATTCAAGATGGCGACCATGACCTCTGATTGTCTGAGACAATAATGGTTATAGCTCTAGATCTATGGGGTAGACTTTGTCAATACAATACTTTGATACATCGATAAGTTTTATGTAAAAAATGTTAAAGCAAACAAAGTTTCAAAATATTGCAGCATTCAAGTTTTGTGAGACATTTTGTGTAAAAACCAAAAATTAATGTACTACATTTGTATATACAATCAATGTTCATTTGATGTTTTAATTTCAGGGAAGTGTGATGTCCAGAACATTTTTTGACACATACAGTGCCAACGAGGACGTGGCTATGATGAAGTACTTGGATAGCATAAGGACAGGACGCATCCTTATATTTACAATCAAGGTACATGTACTTACGTGTATGCTGACATTCAGTTTCAACTACCGTAATCATTAGACAGTCCTTGTTTAGGTTATATTTGCATAAATAATTATAAAAAAGTGGGTATGGTTCATTTCAAAAGGTTAAAGGAATTTGTCCTCGAGAAATAGTTCATTTTAATCTGAAATAATTAGTTTAAAATTGTATCTGAATACATTATTATCAAAGGGCTGAACGAACAAACAGGTTTTCAAGGAAATGTAGTATGGAATTTGATATTGAAATCTCTTGCTGGATGATGACCGTATTTTATTCTGACTATATTGGGAATGGGACCAAGGGGTTTTAGATCTGGAAAAATCTGCATTGCTTGCATCCAAATTATACTCTTACCATATTAAAGGATAATATTTTGATTGAATAAGAAAAAAATGTGGGGAAACCACTGTAAAAAAACCCTGAATAGGATAACCAAGTACTTGGGTAATGGTATAGCCATTTCTATTAACATTGATATGGGATGAGCTCCTATTGATACACGTGTAAGAGAACATTTACTGTTACCACTGATACCCTACAGAAGGAATATTAAAGTACAATTAAATTGATTTCTTTTGATATACATGAAAGAGATAATCTACTGCTTCAACTTCATGATACCCTGTAAAATATACATTTGCTGTATAGCCGTATTGCTTACATCAATAGAAAGTATGCGGAACATGAAGCTTATAATATTAAGTCACTGTTTTCTGTCCATCCTAAAGGATGAAGGATCACAGTCCCTGAAAACAACAGCTCGTGAGTACCTGTCGGCTCTGGGGAGCGAGAAGATCGAGAACCTGGGTTACAGGGATACCTGGTGCTTTGTCACAGTCAAAGGAAAAGGTAAGGTCATTCTGGAAAGGTCAATATTCACAGATACATAAAGGCTTCAAAAGGCATTTTTTGGCGGGTTTAATGGCATTTAAGAGCGCTACAGACATCTGCTTTTGACAACTGGAAGTGAACAAGCCACCCTCAGACTTTTGACCCCATATCAATCTGCCATCACTTATTAAAATCTACTAAAACTATACGTTTTTCTAATGTTCAATATCTAGATTTCATTCAATGTAAAATACAGTGCATGTCAACAATTATCTATTTGAATTACTCGGAGGCACTGTATTTAACCGTAACAAATTTTAGGTAGTGATTACAATCGTTTGAAACACTTGCTGGTTGTCTGATTTAGTTGTGTGAGTCCTATACCAGGGTCAAGGGCAGAGGTACGGTCACTGCTGAAAAGGTCAAGCTGTGTTCCTTTATAAATACCTCCCATGTAAACAGTGTAAAGTATATAAGTACACTTATATATGTACATGTATGTCGGTAAAATATAGACAATAGATATGATATAATTCAACTACATCATCCTAAACTATTCAGAAAGTACTTTGTATTGAATTGAATTTTCCCCCCCACACAATTTTGCTGTAAGGTTTTAACCTTTCTGTATGTGTTTTAGGGAAAGTGATAGGTGAGACCCATGCCAAGGCACCAGATATGTCTACCTGGGCAGAGAAAGTCTCCCTCCAGACCAAGCTCCCCCTGGTGGCAGTGAAAGGTACATCAGTATTACCAATATGTAATGAAATAAAGGCTTGAGTTGACAAGTATTTTGGTAAACTTTGGTTACAGAGAAAGCGCAATGAAAATTAACAACACTTTGTTTTAAATTTTATTACACAATACACTGGGACATTTTTGCTTCATAAGGTATTGCACCTCACATGAAAACTCTGTAATTACCCAGTGTTAATTAATTTCACCTATTTTTTACAAGGGAAATACTTTGTACTGTAAGCTGTATGCAGTTCAGTTATTAAGTAGCTCATAGTAACATTCAGAATGTTAACCAGTGTTATTTACATGTAAACAAAATAAAATGTTACAGTGCTATTAATATATAAACAGAAAATAGGGATTGAATGACATGATTTACATGTTTACAGAAAGTGAATGTCCCTGGCCAGACACTGCAGAGAACAAGAGAAGACAGACTTTCTGTAACAAGTTTGAGGGTTATGGACCTACCTGTAGCTGTACCAGTCCAGAATCAATCTCCTTCACACTTAACCTGGTTAGTAGACAAGCAGGTATTTTGAGTTAGCTTTAAGGTTTCCTGTCCCACTGCAGACACAACACTAGAGAGTTCAATTGTGTTTTTGTCTCGCTGCCAAGCGAGGCTATGGTGTTGCTTTTCCGGCGACAGCGTCAACATTAAGTTTTTGCGTTTAAGTTAGTTTCACTGAAAGTATAAGTGCTAGACCAACCAAACTTGGACCATAGATGCATCTGAGGTAATACATCCCAACCTATGCATCAAATGTAGGATGCGGGCTACCTTTCATGGTCCATTGACTTTGTCAGTATCTCCATCAACATTAAGTTTTCAGTATCTCCATCAACATTAAGTTTTTGCGTTTAAGTTAGTTTCTGTGATATGTGCATCGATGGTGAAAGCGTGGCACAGGCGAGACATATCAATCTGAATGGCTTGTTTTATTGTTATAACCTCCCCTTACTTTCAGTTCGGATATATCCATCTTAATGTGCGGCCAGGCCAGTGCCACCTGGTCAGCAGAAGTGCACTAGCCAAACTGCACTTCAGGTTTGGTCACAAAGATTTACGATTTTCTTTAAACCAACCATCGGTTATGAAACTTCATGAGGTTTTCCACCTTGGTAAATGCCTTTGTGTCTGTGAGAATGTGTAGTTATTTGCAAAGTTAAAACACAAAGCTGATACAAGGAAAAAACTTATTGTTAATATTGTGATACAACAACAGTTCATTTCTGTATTGCGATACAATATGATATGCCTGTGTGTTGCAATATACCGGTTTTCCAATATATGGTGACAGCCCCAGTATCGGTGTGTGTTGATGGTGGACTGAAACATTACAACAGATATACACGAATAAATATTATAATGATTTTTGTCATGCAGGACTCTACCAAGCAGTCATTCAGCTAATGTTTGGATCTGATGCTAATGGCGTTATATGTAATTGAGCTTTCAAAATCTATTTTAGATGTGGTAATGAAATAAATTATGACGCTGATTAAGTCTTGCTCTGGAACTGAACCAGGTTTATCACCAGTGACCCAGTAGTGCTGTTGATTAGAGTAGCTGTCTAGAGTTTGGAGATTTCAGAATTGATTCCTGGTCTGAATTTTCCCACTGCTGTTTCATTTACTGAACTAAATATACCCATGGAAGGTGGTTTAGGGTCTCATGTATCTATGTGGTAGAAATCTTTATAGGAGGGTGGAGGAAAAGAAGGAAAAGAGATTGGACTGAATACATGTCTGTACAAGAAATAGTTCTGATCTCAGTCTGTCTGATAACTTATTGCTATGGTTACAGAAATGAAATTGAATGAAGATTGAGGATAAATTGGAAATGCTGTACCTTAACTGATTTCAAATCATTAATTTTCTTTCAAATATCTCATTGGTAACGTGAACATTTATACAACTTCAATTCTTCACATCATTAGTTTCACATTTTTGTCAGGATTATTACATTAATTGAATGCAATTTCAATTGGCTCTAACCTTTGAATTCATGAATGCCTGAAACTGGAATTTTTTCCTGCATTGGTTATTTAATGGCAGTTCAATAAGTACTCGAAAAGTGAAATAATAATATTGCCATAAAAGTTACCGGTATACAATAATCTATCATATTTATATTTAATCGTTTAGTTGGAAAACAACAATATAGCTGATGTTCCAGTAGTGGTGATCGCCAGTAATCGACCCTATTACTTGTACAGGTAAGACACCAGTCCTTTTATCATACAAGTGTAATTTTGTACCTCCAGCTGTCAATCTAGCTGTTAGTAGAGAAACAATTGTTACACCAATGACATCATACAAGTGTAATTATGTACCTCAAGCTGTCAATCTAGCTGTTAGTAGAGAAACAATTGTTACACCAATTACAGCATACAAGTGTAATTTTGTACCTCCAGCTGTCAATCTAGCTGTTAGTAAAGAAACAATTGTTACACCAATTACATCATACAAGTGTAATTATGTACCTCCAGCTGTCAATCTAGCTGTTAGTAAAGAAACAATTGTTACACCAATTACATCATACAAGTGATAACATACACTGTGTTGTTAAACTTTACAACAAACTTAGTTTACTGTGTGAAACTGTTAAAACTTTGCTTTTCTCCTTAGAATGCTGCGCACCATGTTGTCTGCTCCTGGAGCCGATCCCAAAATGGTCACCGTGTTTATTGATGGATATTACGAGGTAAATGTGGAGATAAATCATATAAACGGTTAGCTGAACATCATTGAAACACAGCAAAATCCCAAATTGTAAACATGAATTTGATGTTAATTAAATTGGTGTCATACATATTAACTAAAACCTGCAAGTAGATATAGTTAAACCAATAATGAAAATTGCAATGTTCTATGAATCGGGATGTTAGTCAGTCACATGATCACGAGATGGGTCATGTGACTGTCCAGTTCTCGCCACGAGGAGGCCTCCCATGTAGAGAACCGTGCCAGGGCTCACACTGATATTAATAAGGGTGGAAAGCAGATTGGTCTTGTAATAAATTCCTTTTTAATATAATCATTTAAAGGGAAAATATGTGATACTCAAAGTAGACATTGTCATATTACTGCCTGATCAATAACAGTCATCTACTGCCATTTCCTATAGCTCATGACCTTCCACTTCCCCTCCCTGACAGCTTGACTACATAATTCATTGCTAACTTGCTGTACATCTCCGTTTGGATGTATTCAGTAACGTTCAAGCATTAAGTTTTTAGACAAATTTGACAAACTACAGTACCATTATTTTCTGGCAATATTACAGACAATTTATCATCAGTGATGATTAACACATGTTGGGCCCCAACCTAATTTATTGGCCGTGGTTATGTTATAACCACTGCTTAGTGTTAAAACTGCTTCAGAATTTTTCTTCCTCCTAGCTTCACTTCTGTCATATACAATAACATTTCCCTCGTTTTTCTGCGTGTACGTTTGTTAAATATCTTACTGAAATTAAAAATGCTGTTTAAAAGTGGTAGTATCTATAAATCTATGTATGTTCTGCTGAGAAAGATGGAGTTGTGGAAGGGAAGTAACTCTTTCAAGAATTGAAAAATAAAAAATTGGCAGATGTATAGAAGGGTTATATTAGAAAAAAATTAAATATTGTAATGGAATACAAACTTGCTTCTAAAAATATAACATTAATAAACTTATTCTAACAGATCTAAATAAGTACTATATTATATATTAAAAGTCTTTAGTAAAATGTTGGGAATTTTCTCATCAATGTGAGCCCCGTCATGAAAATGATAAAATTTTAAATAAATGAGACATATTTAGTTATGCATAATCTACAATGAATAGTCTGGTACAATTATGATAGGTATAAACAAAGCATGGAATGATGATTGGTGAGTGTATGTATAATATCTCATGAGGCCTACGAAAAAGTTTGGGAAGAATGTTATTTAATTTTTTTTATTGCAGGTTCAGAAATATATTTGAATAGGAAATCAAGTTATGTTTATAATCTGTTGTAATTTCATGATGCAACAGTGTTGAAAATCAACTCAGCACTTCTCTGTCCTTGAAAATACCTTGTGTATGTTCAACTTAAGAAATGCAGCGGAATTTTTGTTCATATTTGCATCCATCCTGGAATTTTACTCCCGAGAGACAAATCCCTCTGAGAGAGTTCCACAGACTAACGTGTAGCTATATGTTACATAGCTTGACATGAAAAATAGTTACATTGGCAGACACACATTTTCATTAGAAATATCATATCTGTGATATACAATTAGTACCTGTTATGCATCAATTTTGGTGTAATATTAGCTCCTGCTTAAAATAGAAAAAGTGATGCTGATGACTGTTAGCAATATTCATAGGAAAAATTACAGCAACTTACAAACTGACAGGAAAGCTCACTTAAACATAGAACATAAAACAGTATATTTTATATTACAAATTAACCCTTTCACCCCCAGGTAACTGCAGTAGACTCTACCATACATTTATCTGGATGAGTCCATTATAGTCTACAGTGGTGAAAGGGTTAAAGGTATAGAGGAAAAGTTTTGAAAATCGTATTAAGTTGTGTACACATATGATTACAATCCCAACACAAATGTTTGATGACTTAAGTTGTACTTCAGCTGAAAATATGAAGGAAAACCTTGGAAAGAGAATTTGAGTACGGTATACTGTCTACCCCGTTAAGTTAGCAGCACATTCATCTGATGATGATTGCTGTTGCTGAAAGTACGAGTTGACTTCCCACATTACCTGTAATAGATCTGAGAGGTTTTACACTTCTGTTTTGTTTGTGACAGGAACCCCTGGCTGTCACCACACTCCTGGGCCTCAAAGGTATACAGCACACACCCTTAGGTACTAAAGCCGCCAGGATATCACAGCACTACAAAGCTAGCCTCACAGCCATCTTCAACCTCTATGTGGTGAGTCAAGTCATTTTCAACTTCTATGTGGTGAGTTTATAGTCATTTTCAACCTCTACGTGGCAAGTTATAGACTTTTTTTAATCGCTCTGTTGTGAGATTTAACACACATTTTCAACTGATGCATAGTGAATTTACAGTCCTTTTCAATCTCTTCGTGATAAATTTACATCAATCTGGACTAAATATATTTACTGAAGGTGAATAAAGCATGGTGTAAAAAAAAAGACTTTACATACATACATGTACACGGTGTGACTACTATTAGGTACCATAATTATATACATTGTTGATCTTTATTTAGAGAGTTGAAAGTCAGCCTATGCACACATATACTGGATTTTTTCCCGTTCCATTTAAACTTTGCCATCTGTTAGAGAACAGCTTTAACTTAATAATAAATGTATATGTATTAGTAATTATAAACAGCGAACTTTACTAAGTATTTCCTCAGCAAAGGCTGAAACTGAGCAAAATTAGATTATATGGATGAAGGGAAAATATTTTACATGACGGAAATTTCCCGATATACAGTAGTGAGATTAAAGTCAGCCTTCACAAAGTGAATTTTCAGCCAACATGCACGGACAATACAGCTACACAATACATAACGGGTTTTAACTAGCTTGCATTTTAGATTATTCGAGACACACCAATAAACTGTAATCAGACCCAGTGATATTTCAGACACATACGTTTGAGACCTGGGCCCGTATTCATGAAACCGTTTGAGGTCAGGACTTATTTCTTGTTTCGGTTATAAATTAATAAAAAACTCATATTTAGTCAACGATTATTGACATGATTTAAGCGAGTTACAAGAAGTTGGTTTGAGCACAGAATCAATGCTCTTAGTAAAGAGACTTCCTCAACAACAAAGGAAGTTCAGAACTCACCTGAAAAAAGTCCTACAAAAATCAATGCACACTATCAATCAAATCCGTTTCCATGCTTGAGGTACAGATTTATCTTAACGTGTATATATTTTTGATTTTCAGGACTCAAAGTATGCGATTGTTATAGAGGAAGACTTGGATGTCAGCCCTGATTTCTTCAAGTAAGTAGTTTTTGTCATACTAAATATAAATACTAAATAAAAATGATGTGAAATATTATTTAAATAATACATATTGTGTTGAATATACAATTTTTTATCAATTTTCAAACAATGAATACTGAAGTCTTAAATTATTAGAAAACGTTAGCTATAATTCTTAAAATATAAGACAATGCCTATTGTAGATATTACATTTTGCTGTTTAAAGATGTCATATAGTCTACATAACAACAGATCAATGAGAAAAAAATAATTTCAGATCCTATTGTTGAATTAAAAAACTCTAATTGTCAAAATTCCAAGTATCCATAGGTGCTGTGTGACTTATTTGTCTGTTTGATTGAGACGATGTAATTATGTGCCTGGTCAACAACATGGACTTTTAATCATTTGTTCTTTATGTCATTGTCTTATTTCGTTTGAGTATGATTGGTAGACCTTGGTGCTCTGTTTGTAAGAGAATCTATGTTACAGCTACTTCAGCCAGACCAAGTTTTTACTAGAGGAGGACCCCACAGTATACTGTATATCAGCCTGGAATGACCAGGTAAGTCAGAACTATCTGAAAATGTAATTATGTTCCTTCCCACCAAGTGATCGCTTAAATCCCAATACAAATAATTCAGTTTGAATTTCATTCTTCTTGAAAATATAAAAGATTGACATTTTGTGTTAAATTGTAATCAGTTTATAGGTACAGTAGCTATAGTGTAACTCAATCTAGGTACAGTAGCTATAGTGTAACTCAATCTGGGTACAGTAGCTATGGTGTAACTCAATCTTGGTACAGTAGCTATGGTGTAACTCAATCTAGGTACAGTAGCTATAGTGTAACTCAATCTTGGTACAGTAGCTATAGTGTAACTCATTTTGGTACAGTAGCTATGGTGTAACTCAATCTAGGTACAGTAGCTATAGTGTAACTCAATCTTGGTAAGTAGCTATAGTGTAACTCAATCTAGGGACAGCAGCTATAGGGTAACTCAATCTTGGTACAGTAGCTATGGTGTACCTCAATCTAGGTACAGTAGCTATGGAGTAACTCAATCTTGGTACAGTAGCCATAGTGTAACTCAATCTAGGTACAGCAGATATAGTGTACCTCAATCTAGGTACAGTAACTATAGAGTAACTCAATCTTGGTACAGTAGCCATAGTGTAACTCAATCTAGGTACAGCAGATATAGTGTACCTCAATCTAGGTACAGTAACTATAGTGTAACTAAATCTTGGTACAGTAGCTATAGTGTAACTCAATCTAGGTACAGTAACTATAGAGTAACTCAATCTTGGTACAGTAGCTATAGTGTAACTCAATCTAGGTACAGTAGCTATAGTGTAACTCAATCTAGGTACAGTAGCTATAGTGTGACTCAATCTGGGTACAGTATCTAAAAAGTGTGACTAAATCTAGGTACAGTAGCTATAGTGTAACTCAATCTTGGTAAGTAGCTATAGTGTAACTCAATCTAGGTACAGTAGCTATAGTGTAACTCAATCTTGGTACTGTAGCTATAGTGTAACTCAATCTTGGTACAGTAGTTATAGTGTAACTCAATCTAGGTACGGTAGCTATAGTGTAACTCAATCTAGGTACGGTTACTATAGTGTAACTCAATCTTGGTACGGTAACTATAGTGTAACTCAATCTTGGTACAGTAGCTATAGTGTAACTCAATCTAGGAACGGTAGCTATAGCGTAACTCAATCTAGGTACAGTAGCTATAGTGTGACTCAATCTGGGTACAGTATCTAAAGTGTGACTCAATCTAGGTACAGTATCTAAAAAGTGTGACTAGATCTGGATATAGTATCGGAAGTGTGACTCAATCTGGTTACAGTATCTGAAGTGTGACTTAATCTAGGTACAGTATCTGAAGTGTGACTCAATCTGGGTACAGTATCTGAAGCGTGACAAAATCTAGGTACAGTATCTGAAGCGTGCAGTATCTGAAGCGTGACTCAATCTGTGTACAGTATACCTTAAGTGTGACTTAATCTGGTTATAGTATCTGAAGTGTGACTCAAGCTTGGTACAGTATATCTAAAGTATGAATCAATCTAGATACAGTATCTAAAGTATGACTCAATCTGGGTACAGTATCTGAAGTGTGACTCAAGCTTGGTACAGAATATCTAAAGTGTGACTCAATCAGGGTACAGTATCTGAAGTGTGACTCAATCTGGGTACAGTATCTAAAGTGTGACTCAATCTGAGTACAGTATCTGAAGTATGACTCAATCTGGGTACAGTATCTAAAGTGTGAGTCAATCTGGGTACAGTAGCTAAAGACATTCTGAAAGATGTACAAAATGTACATACAAATATAAAAACACAATTAAATATAGATAGAAACACACCCAAATTAATTAGATACCTATTAATATTTCTGCACACACATTTATAGACATCAATATAACGGCACAGACGTTCTCTTACATAGAAGCAACAGTAACTGAAAAATCATGCTAAATATGACCTCCCAAATAATTATTATAATCTAGCAAAACATCTTACTGGACAGCTTTATTTAGCAGCACAGTAGTTTGAAAGTGAAAATAGTAGCCACTAGAAATAACTTGAGAATTGGTTAAAAAATTTAAAAGAAGAAAAAAGGGGGCATTGTTGTGAAAATGGTATTATTTTAAAACAGTTTCAATTTTCACCACCATGCTAGTTTAAATTGTATTATACAACTCGCCAAGACATGTATTATCATGGGAAAAAATAACAATTTGTAATACAGTAATAATTATAGATTTTCACACTGTATTTTCAGGGTTTGTCGTGAAAACAATTTTCTCATTGTGAGCACATGGATAAAATGGAGAGGCCACCACAGGTGGACTCGAGATTTTATCTACATGCAAGCGATGAGAAAATTGTTCAAACAACAAACACTGAAAATATTGTATGATAAACTATTTATCATCTATATACTACTACCTTATATATTTCTCCATTTAAAAAATTAAAGTAAACACCATGTTTTCCAAATGACTTCTAAGCGCAATGGTCGACAAACGTAAACAAATAGAAGTTTTGCGCGGAGGAATACAATGAACCTTAAAACTATGTAGAATTTGTGTTTAATCAATCCTATCGTCATTGGCTTGACCATATGCACATTTGCACCAGAAATGGTGTTGTTATTCTCACAATATTTTTCCGTAACTTTGTATTGATATGTTTATGATGAACTATTTTCTTACGCGGATCACTTTTGTGTGGATACTATTTCTGGTTTTGGACGTCATCTGGCGCGAGCAGACATTCTTTTTTGAGAAAATACGTTCCCAAGTGCTGGGATATGGAGAAAATACGTTCTCAAGTGCTGGGATATAGAGAAAATACGTTCTCAAGTGCTGGGATATGGAGAAAATACGTTCCCAAGTTCTGGGATATGGAGAAAATACGTTCCCAAGTTCTGGGATATGGAGAAAATACGTTCCCAGGTTCTGGGATATGGAGAAAAGACGTTCCCAAGTGCTGGGATATGGAGAAAATATGTTCCCAAGTGCTGGGATATGGAGAAAATACGTGGTCAAGTGCTGGGATATGGAGAAAATACGTTCCCAAGTCCTGGGATATGGAGAAAATATGTTCCCAAGTGCTGGGATATGGAGAAAATACGTGGTCAAGTGCTGGGATATGGAGAAAATACGTTCTCAAGTGCTGGGAAATGGAGAAAATACGTTCTCAAGTGCTGGGATATAGAGAAAATACGTTCTCAAGTGCTGGGATATGGAGAAAATACGTTCCCAAGTTCTGGGATATGGAGAAAATACGTTCCCAGGTTCTGGGATATGGAGAAAAGACGTTCCCAAGTGCTGGGATATGGAGAAAATACGTTCTCAAGTGCTGGGAAATGGAGAAAATACGTTCTCAAGTGCTGGGATATAGATAAAATACGTTCTCAAGTGCTGGGATATGGAGAAAATACGTTCTCAAGTTCTACTCAAGTTGTTCTCAAGTTGTTCTCAACTTCTTCTCATACTGACAACCAACGATAATGAACTATCATGCTACCGGTAGGTGGTATACAGTAGTATATAGATGATAATGTTTTAGTTATGCTTACCAGTTTATTCAAGTAGATTCAATTGTACGTAGACACTCTCTGTCAGCTTTTCCTTACTGTGACGGTAAATCCCTTGGGCACAAATCCTTTTCACTACTGTATAATAGATTATTTTTAATGTCCAAGGTTATTTCTGTGTCCTTTCGCTATGTTGGTGCTACCCTGGTTTGTTATGTTGGATGTTCTTCCATTTCCATATCTGTCTGTTAAACTTTAATAATTTACACTTATATAGTTACGTGTACACATCTTCATGCAGATTGTTTAGGTTACTTTATCTATGTAGGAAATGTTTTCTCATCAATCTGTATTGTTCAAAAAGGCCATTTCCTGTTCGTAGGAACATGTGTACGTAATGGTTCTAGATACTCTAGTGCTGGCAGCCAGGTCAACTGGTCTGTGTTGATGAATGCAGTACATTTAAATATTATTTATTATAAGTCCACTCCTGCTGGGTACAGTCTTTGGTAAACATGGGACCAAAACTTTTGACCTGGCCGATAAAAACGTTCACACTGCCAGTCTCTTGTAACCTTAATTTCCCATTTATAAAGGGTAGGTGTTCCAAGGTCATATAGGGTAAGTGTTCCAAGGTCATATAGGGTAAGTGTTCCATGGTCATTTAGGGTAAGTGTTCCAAGGTCATATAGGGTAAGTATTACATGGTCATATAGGGAAAGTGTTCCAAGGTCATATAGGGTAAGTGTTCCAAGGTCATATAGGGTAAGTGTTCCAAGGTCATTTCACTTTGAATGTTCTTGAAAACAGAACAGAAAGTTATGATGAAAGTTAAGAAGGCCCGATCTTGTGTCAGCTCTGATAATCCAGTTACTAAGATTTTGGCTGTTAAAAGCTGCGGGTCGAAGAACTTCACCATTCCTATCCCACTGCAGGCAACCACTATATAATCAATTCCGCTGTAATATTTTCATACGTATATGTACATTAACCTTTCCTTGTGAGTACATCAGTTTCATGCTGTAGTTATCTATTCCACATGAAATCTGTCTGGTTTATGGTACAAAAATGAAGGTGCAAGAAAACCAGGTTGACACTAGCATAGTTTTGTTAAATCACCATTTCTATGTCCCACTTTATTCCTTTGACAGGAATGCATATATTGCAACCAAGGTAAATCGAATATGAATCCAGGGGTTGTTTTCAAATGATTTTGCCTATAACAGATTGCTTGGTTTTCCTTGTCCGTCTTGAATCAGTAGACGCTGGAAATAAGCAACACATTCTACAAATTTCTCAACTCATTCCTTTAACAAAATATGAAACAATTTTTAAAAATGATAAAAAACATGGTCATGGAACACAACAAAACATAATGTTCTTAAAATTTATTTCTTAGATTATGGTGGTGGTTTGGAAAATTCAGTTGTAAAATATTAAAAAAGCTATTTTCACTTTCAAACTGCTGTTATGGTTAAAGCACCTCAAAGATGAAGATCAGGTCAGTCTGTTGATGTCTTTAATGCAGGTTAATCAGATCAAAATAACGTCTCTGTCCGCTAGTCATACTCAATGTCGCTAAATAATAAATTGTTAAGTGGTAAGTCAGAGAATACCGTCCAATCATCACTGTTTGTTATAAACTCAAAATAAGGATTTGGATAAGAAGTCCTTTTGTTCTTTTATTACCGATCATTTAGTTCCCCTTTTTGAGAAGTGGCAACAAAAAACAAAAGCTTGTGTCCTAGTCCCTTAATGTTATACCTTTCATAAAATGTTTTTTGTCTTCGTTACAAACTGCAGTGAGTGTCAATTTAATTGTCTTGTTTTCTATTGAGTATTGCAAATCATTCACCCCTACATATTTTAACTGAACTTGCCCAGTCTTTGATTTGGTAATGTCCAAATGTGACTTAAGGGGTGAATAGGTTAAGGCTATTTTCACACTACTGAATTATATATACAGAATCAGGTACTAATATAATGGCATACCCCAATTTATGAAAAAGTGGTTTTGTATTAAAAATGAAAGGCTTTATAAAGTAGTTTGATATCAAAGTTAAAAAATAAGAGATAATATACATCAGTAATATTTACGATACATACAGTAGCACAAGATGAGAGGATATTTCATTTATCTGAAATTAAAACATCAGTAAACCGCAAATATTAAATCAAATAATAAATTACTCAAATTATATCAAATAACAAATCATTTATCTGAAATTAAAACTTTGATAAACCACAAATATGAAATCAAATAATAAATTACTCTATATATATATATGACATTAGATCAAAAGGTAGATACAACAGTCGTATTAACATGAAAATAAGAACAAACGTAAAACAGTATCAAGAAAGGAAATTGTACAACATTAACCTGAAATACAAGCAACAGTTCAGTTATTATATTGTAAATATTAAAGAGAACTTAAACCATTACCTGAACATGTTTTGTATCTGTTTACAAAAATAATCATTTAAACAAACAGCTGAAAACATGAAAATAAAATTGAATGTGCAAATCAATAACATCAGGGGTATAACCAGTCCTGTCAGGACCTGTCCCTACTGTACTGTGTAGTAGGGGTATAACCAGTCCTGTCAGGACCTGTCCCTACTGTAGCGTGTGGTAGGGGAATAACCAGTCCTGTCAGGACCTGTTCCTACCTACTGTACTGTGTAGTAGGGGTATAACCATTCCTGTCAGGACCTGTCCCTACTGTCCCCTGTAGTAGGGGTATACCCAGTCCTGTCAGGACCTGTAACTACTGTACCGTGTAGTAGGGGTATAACCAGGCCTGTCAGGACCTGTCCCTACTGTACTGTGTAGTAGGGGTATAACCATTCCTGTCAGGACCTGTCCCTACTGTCCCCTGTAGTAGGGGTATACCCAGTCCTGTCAGGACCTGTAACTACTGTACCGTGTAGTAGGGGTATAACCAGGCCTGTCAGGACCTGTCCCTACTGTACCCTGTAGATTCTATAAGACATCCTTGTTGTATGTAGGGGTATAACCAGTACTCTCAGGACCTGTTCCTACCTACTGTACTGTGTAGTAGGGGTATAACCATTCCTGTCAGGACCTGTTCCTACTGTACCGTGTAGATTGTATAAGACATCCTTGTTGTATAGTCCTGTCAGGACCTGTTCCTACTGTACCGTGTAGTAGGGGTATAACCAGGCCTGTCAGGACCTGTCCCTACTGTAGCGTGTGGTAGGGGAATAACCAGTCCTGTCAGGAACTGTTCCTACTGTACCGTGTAGATTGAATAAGACATCCTTGTTGTATGTAGGGGTATAACCAGTACTCTCAGGACCTGTTCCTACCTACTGTACTGTGTAGTAGGGGTATAACCATTCCTGTCAGGACCTGTTCCTACTGTACCGTGTAGTAGGGGTATATCCAGTCCTGTCAGGACCTGTCCCTACTTTACCGTGTGGGAGGGGTATAACCAGTCTTGTCAGGGCCTGTCCCTACTGTACCGTGTAGTAGGGTTATAACCAGTCCTGTCAGGTCCTGTCCCTACTGTTCCCTGTAGTAAGGGTATAACCAGTCCTGTCAGGTCCTGTCCCTACTGTACCCTGTAGTAGGGGAATAACCAGTCCTGTCAGGAACTGTTCCTACTGTACCGTGTAGATTGAATAAGACATCCTTGTTGTATGTAGGGGTATAACCAGTACTCTCAGGACCTGTTCCTACCTACTGTACTGTGTAGTAGGGGTATAACCATTCCTGTCAGGACCTGTTCCTACTGTGCTGTGTAGATTGTATAAGACATCCTTGTTGTATCTAGGGGTATAACCAGTCCTGTCAGGCCCTGTCCCTACTGTACTGTGTAGATTGTATAAGACATCCTTCTTGTATGTAGGGGTATACCCAGTCCTGTCAGGACCTGTAACTACTGTACCGTGTAGTAGGGGTATAACCAGACCTGTCAGGACCTGTCCCTACTGTATCGTGTAGTAGGGGTATAACCAGCCCTGTCAGGACCTGTCCCTACTGTACTGTGTAGTAGGGGTATAACCATTCCTGTCAGGACCTGTTCCTACTGTGCTGTGTAGATTTTATAAGACATCCTTGTTGTATGTAGGGGTATAGCCAGTCCTGTCAGGACCCTGTCAGGACCTGTCCCTACTGTACCGTGTGGGAGGGGTATAACCAGTCTTGTCAGGGCCTGTCCCTACTGTACCGTGTAGTAGGGATATAACCAGCCCTGTCAGGGCCTGTCCCTACTGTACCGTGTAGTAGGGTTATAACCAGTCCTGTCAGGACCTGTCCCTACTGTCCCCTGTAGTAGGGGTATACCCAGTCCTGTCAGGACCTGTAACTACTGTACCGTGTAGTAGGGGTATAACCAGCCCTGTCAGGACCTGTCCCTACTGTATCGTGTAGTAGGGGTATAACCAGCCCTGTCAGGACCTGTCCCTACTGTAACCTGTAGTAGGGGTATAACCAGTCCTGCCAGGACCTGTCCCTACTGTACCGTGTGGTGGGGGTATAACCAGTCCTGTCAGGACATGTCCCTACTGTACCGTGTGGTAGGAGTATAACCAGTCCTGTCAGGACCTGTTCCTACTGTACTGTGTAGATTGTATAAGACATCCTTGTTTTATGTAGGGGTATAACCAGTCCTGTCAGGACCTGTCCCTACGGTACTGTGTAGATTGTATAAGACATCCTTGTTGTATGTAGGGGTATAACCAGTCCTGTCAGGACCTGTCCCTACTGTACTGTGGAGATTGTATAAGACATCCTTGTTGTATTTAGAGGTATAACCAGTCCTGTCAGGACCTGTCCCTACTGTACTGTGTAGATTGTATAAGACATCCTTGTTGTATTTAGAGGTATAACCAGTCCTGTCAGGACCTGTCCCTACTGTACCGTGTAGATTCTATAAGACATCCTTGTTGTATGTAGGGGTATAACCATTCCTGTAATGACCCGTCTCTACTGTATCGGGTGGAGACCATGCCAGGGCTAGGATGGTTGCTGAAACGAAAACTCTACAAAGGAGAGTTAGAATCACAATGGCCTACTCCAGAAAAGGTGAGATATTATTTTATTTTCAATGAATCCCTGTTATAGAGGAGAGGTTCCTTTACTTCTATATTAGTTATTCATGCAGGTAAAGGCCTTAATTAAGAAATACATACATAGCAGTGTATTTTTTAATCTGTATAGAAAAATAATAATGAAGAACAGCTCATGACGTTTAGGAATAAATGATATGTATGCAAGTCCTACAAAACAACACTATAAGTTGTGTAATAATTGGAGAAATCTGTTAAATATAATTTAAAACCTCTATTCTGTGAGAAAAACATAAAGGCATAATTATCAAGTTTATAATTTTACCATCAAATCCATTTTCTTCTGGTTTCAGATATGGGACTGGGATATGTGGCTTAGAACAAACCACATCAGGAAGAATCGGGAGTGTATTATACCCGATATATCTCGTACATATCACTTCGGCTCCAAGGGGCTCAACATGAATCCATACTTCCAAGATATTTACTTCAAAAATCATTCACTTTTAAAGACACCCAATGTGAAGTTAAAAGATTTAGACAAGTAAGGAATGTTTCATAGAGCTTTGTTATTATCAACACATTTTTCTCAGGATTCTAGCTATCACTGATTACAGTACAGGTTTTAAACAAAGCAAGTGGGAACACAAATAATTGGTTAGTAGTATAAGCATCAATAACCATACGTTACAATAAATGCATATTGTTAAAAAAGCAAAAACAAAAGTCGAAGGCAAAATATATATATGTATAAAGAGGATCAAAAAAGAGTTTGTGCAAAATGTAAGTTTGTCATAATAAAGCTTGTTTGTTGTAATTTTTTAATATATTACTGTCTGGATGACAAAGTATATACAACAGTTGTACTTACATGAAAATGAGCACAAATGTAAAACATTATTAAGAAAAGAAATTGTACAATATAAACCTGGAACTCAAGCAACAATTAAGTTATTATCTTATTATCTGGATAACAAATTTACAGGTGTCAGAGTTTGGGTTAGATATACGCTAGTGCTATACTTCAAATTAGAAATTACCAATAATAGCAATTTAATATCATTAAGCAATTGTATGAGATTAGTATACAAGCACTGATGAAAATGTGAAAGCGACATAGACATTGTAGAATAATACCACTGTAAGGCATGGTGTTTTTTTAACGAGCTATACAATAAAAATATTCAAATTTCAGCAAGAGTAGTGTTTGCTTTTATTAAGGAAATGCAAAAGATGAAAGAAATATGAATAAATCTAGAAAATAAAAATAAATAAAAAATAAATGCATTTATAAAATTGTCACCCTGATGTAGTCCCTATATGATTCGTTTCTACATACCAGCAACTTTTTCTTGTCAGTAAATTCTGAGATGAATCAACTTAAATGCTAATACTGATTCTTTATGTATTTCATTTCAGAATGAAAAGAGATGAATATGAAGATTTACTAACAAATCTCATAAAATCTGCGAAGACACTAGATCATTCCAAAGATGCCTGTTCGGAGGAGTTTATACCTCGAGTCACAGTGAGCATCAGCTTATTTGACCTGGTTGTCCAAAAAAATGTTGACGTATTAGTTATGTTAATATTTTTGAAAGTATGTTTCAAAGAAGTTGGTTTTTCCTCTCTTTATATTTGGGAATGTTTGCCCTCATATCCCCAATGAGATTTAGAGAACAAGATTGGGATCAGTTGGATACCATGCTGAAAAAAAAAAAAGGGGGAACTGTTTGATGAAAAAAATAGAAAGAGGAGAAGAAATTATACAGGTTTTCAAGTTGACTTTTCATTACCTGTGGTTAAGTGGAGTTTTAAACACTGCTTAAACTGGTATATAATTATTATATCTATTCTCAATGTTAAACCAGGAATGCTAATTGACATAAATTGCATGTGAAACATGACAGGCCTAGATAGACCATTTTCAACCTGTGCTTATCTTTCACCAGTTGAATCTATATGATATATAGGTAAAATTTTAAAATCTGACAATCCTGCAACAGAAAAGAGAGTAGGAACAAAAGCTACAGAGAGTAGTTCAGAAAAGGAAGTGGTAGGGTATAAGAGTAGACCATTTTAGGGGCCTTCCTCACATTGACCTCCTACAGTGCAACGAAACCCGTATGGGTGGAGTCATGTAGGCGACTAACTAACTAAGGGGCCTCCCATATTGCCCCACAATAGATTTGTTGGGCCTATTCTCCCAGATTCAGTGTGAATGATACAGGAATGGAGGACAGTAATTAATCTATGTCAGTAACATTGTTTTTTTTTAAATATCAGTTTTACAAGTTGTCTCTTCAATATATTCAATAAATCTTCAATATTTTTCAATGCATGTAATACTCTTTTTAGGATGGAAAATTTGTGATGTATATAAGCATGAATACAACAACAGATTTCGTCACCTGGAAACAACTTGCCAAGGTAATAACTGCTATCACTGATAACGATCCCCATGACACTATCACGGTAGCTAGTGACAGAAACAAATTCACTTTGGCTGTCAGTCTTTATCATCAGGCATTTTTTTTCTTCTGTAAATGATTTAAATACTGCAAAAGTACTTATTTCAGCAAACTAAAACTTAAATGTACAGCTGAATTTCAACAGGCTAGCGCATAGAACAATTAGCGCACCCAAAATAATGCTATAGAAAACTATATACAGGAACTTCCATTGTTACAGCACGAAGAGCACAAAAATTAGAACAGTGCTAAAATACCTATGTATGCTTCCATTACCTATAAATGATAGAATAAGAGTTAAGTGACACTTACTGCTAGAGTTAATTGTGACACTTACTGCTCGAGTTAATTGTGACACTTACTGCTAGAGTTAATTGTGACACTTACTGCTAGAGTTAACTGTGACATTTACTGCTAGTGTTAATTGTGACACTTACTGCTAGAGTTAATTGTGACACTTACTGCTAGAGTTAATTGTGACACTTACTGCTAGAGTTAATTGGTTAGAATGAAAAATGTACACAGAGGAACTTGCAAAATCTATTGTAAGATATTTGACCTTTGATCTTTCAGTGCTACCATTTATGGGACTTGGATGTACGAGGTTTCCACAAGGTCAGTAACAGGACAGGGTCAATTGATCGGACATGCCAGTATAGACTTGGGGTTAAACACAGGGAAAATCAAAACCATACTATGTTCAAATCCTGTCGTATCACACAGGTTGTTCTCAAATACAGGTGTCAGTAGACCAAGGTTTCATTGTAATTGTTTGATTCATCACTAGTTTCAATTTGATAAAAAAAAAAACAAGCAAAGAGTATTATCTACCTACAATCAACTCCCTATCTGTACCTATCTGTACCTATCGTACCTATATGTACCTATCTGAATCTAGACATACTTATACAATGCTGTTAAGAACTGCAAAACCACTTATCTTTTAGGGGAAATACATTTCCCAGTAATGCTAATAAATTTGTAATCTTTTTACAGAGTATGTGGCGACTGTTTATCAAAGGAAGTCAGGTGGTCGTGGTAGGAGTTCCGGCGTCAGCCTATGCGTGAGTACGACACACTGATTAGGGGGAATATCATTTGACAACAGATGTCACATCATTAGAAAAACTCAGGTGGTAGATAATACATGAAACAGAATATATCTGAATCCTGAAGTCTTCTACGGTAAATGTGAATTGTGACTATTTAGCCGATCTTTACACACAATCTACCGGGTTCAATCTCCGAAGTCGTAGTACGCATGGAATATTCAGAGAAAGTGTTTTTCTCCTGCCTACACAACTCCAACAACCTAGGTGGAGTATAAAATGGTCTGGGGTGGATGTTGTGATATCTGTGTTGTAGCATTCAAGTGAGGTGGCACTATTAAATGATGCCCAGTCCCACTACAAACAACACAATATATCTCCAGCATATGCAATGTATATGCTAATTGTATACATTGTATATCTATGTACTGTAAAGCGCTTTAGAGTGGCTTATTCTAGCTAGATAGGGTGCTATATCAAATGTTGTATATTATTATTATTATATTATTATTAACGTGGGGGAATGAAATCTTCTTGTAGACTGGCCTACATTATAACGAATGGAGGTGAGCCATTGGTTTTTGAATGCTTTCACTTCTCTTTCAGACACCTGAAGCCAGCTGCTGTAAAGCCTATCTACATTCCAGAACCACCCAAGAAAACCTAGTCAACATTGGACAAGAGATTGGAGACTGCCCATTAGAGTCTGAGAGGTCACAGATTACTCCATTGTATGTAAAGAAACTCCTGTGTCTTCAGTCAGAAACAGTGAGGTGTTAATGATAAAACAATGTGTTTACTAACATGTATTATCAACAATCTTCTGTGATGTCATATAATGACATAACTCTCTACTGAGCTGGACTAGGTACACTCACAACAACTTCTCTATCTAGTTACCTTAATACTAACTAGCTGGAATAGGTACCTGTATAATAATACCTGTCTACCTAGCTGATATAGGTACCTGTATAATTACACCTGTCTACCTAGTTGATATAGGTACCTGTATAATTACACCTGTCTACCTAGCTGATATAGGTACCTGTATAATTACAAATGTCTACCTAGCTGATACAGGTACCTGTATAATTACACCTGTCTACCTATAGCTAGCTGATATAGGTACCTGTATAATAACCCCTGTCTACCTAGCTGATATAGGTACCTGTATAATTACACCTGTCTACCTAGCTGGAATAGGTACCTGTATACTTACACCTGTCTACCTAGCTGATATAGGTACCTGTATAATAACACCTGTCTACCTAGCTGAAAAGTGCCATACCTTGTTCCACAGTGCAATTATCCTATTCTGATATTAATGATCATATGAAAATGATTATATGATGAGAGTGAGAAATCTAGATTTTTTTGTAGTCGTTTATTACATGGAATGAGTGTGAAGTCTTTTATTGTTGATTTTGGGAATTATTCTGTATTTCTTTTTTTTGAAAGTATAAAGTATTTAAATATCTCTGAATCCTAGGTATGCTTTACTGAGGAGATATCTCTGAATCCTAGGTATGGTTTACCGAGGAAATATCTCTGAATCCTAGGTTTGGTTTACAGAGGAGATATCTCTGAATCCTAGGTATGGTTTATCGAGGAGATATCTCTGAATCCTAGGTATTGTTTACCGAGGAGATATCTCTGAATACTAGGTTTGGTTTACAGAGGAGATGTCTCTGAATCCTAGGTATGGTTTACTGAGGAGATATCTCTGAATCCTTAGTATGGTTTACCGAGGAGATATCTCTGAATCCTAGGTTTGGTTTACCGAGGAGATATCTCTGAATCCTAGGTTTGGTTTACTGAGGAGATATCTCTCAATGATAAAGATCTGTAAAGGTGGCCTAGCTACTTGGGAAGATCTCTCTAATCCATTATGTCAGGAACATTCCAAGAACATTTCAGTATATTTTTTGTTCTGTGATAAATCTATTGGGGGATATATAAATGTTTCACCTGATGTTTGAGGTTCTGATTAACCTGCGTGGTTACTGGGATCCAGTTAGATATTGCATATTGTAATTTTAAGTAAGACCAGTATTGTTGTCAGTGTGTGTATAACTGTTGGTAGTGCTTGTAAGGAGCCTGCTTGTCCAGAGATATGGTGATACTAGTTACTTCATATATATATATATCAATCTGACTGAAGAAGCCCTAGAAGGCAGAAAGGCCTAGCGGACGATCTGAAAGATTTTTGTTTTTATTCTATATATATATATATATATATATGTGTGTGTGTGTGTGTGTGTGTGTAATTAAGATTAATTAAGTTTACCACATGTAGGTATGTGGGATAGGGAAATTTCCCGAAGTCCTGCACAAGGGTGTAGAATTTTGGCTGAGAACTTTGTCAAAGCCTCGGTTCTGACCCACATTCTACAACCTCAGGAAGAATTTCCCTATCTCACATAGCTATATAATGTTTGACTATTTTCTCCCACCTCTTACCCAGAAATATGGTAAAAATTGCCAAAGACATTGTGAATGCAGCAGCAAAGATAATAGATTTTCTAGACAAATTAACCAAGAACATAGTAGGAAAGAGCAGGGAAAAGGATGATACGGCTGTATACCAAAAGTAGGCTTTAACATTAAAAGGGTTTGGAAAAAGCATGTTAAAAAAATGTTTATTTCCATGAGGCTATGTCAGATGCACACTGTCTTGGCAGTAGGTATTCTTCCGCTGACCAAAATTAGAATTTATGACAGGTATCGTATCGAAATGATGTCATGTTGCGGAATATCAGCTGAAATGGTGCTGAACATTCTGAACACAAACGTTAGTATGTACTCCTTAGTCAAGATTTGGAAAAAAATGTAGTTCCCGAACAAGGATCACTTGGTGTTCCTATATATGATAGAGTTATTCCACATGGGTGTTCCACGTGGGACACATGTATCTTACAAACGCAGAGGTGGAAGAAATTTATATCTTCTATGTTTTGTTTGAATGTGATTGTCTCAGTACTTAAAAGACTATTTTTTCTGACACATTTATACATGTGTAGGAAAGCATGTCAGAAAACGGTCACTTGGTGTAGTAGGGAAAACTGGGCTGTCTCAAGTCTTAAGAGTGTCTAGTAAGTATGATGTCATTGAGTGAGAGTTTTGAGAGTATTTGATACATATGTTGTCAGTGAGAGTTTTGAGAGTATCTGATACATATGTTGTCAGTGAGAGTTTTGAGAGTATTTGATACATATGTTGTCAGTGAGAGCTTTGAGAGTATCTGGTGTATTTTGTCAGTGAGAGTTTTGAGAGTATTTGATACATATGTTGTCAGTGAAAGTTTTGAGAGTAACTGGTGGTGTATTTTGTCAGTGAGAGTTTTGAGAGTATCTGATACATATGTTGTCAGTGAGAGTTTTGAGGGTATTTGATACATATGTTATCAGTGAGAGCTTTGAGAGTATCTGATACGTATGTTGTCAGTGAGAGTTTTGAGAGTATTTGATATGTATGTTGTCAGTGAGAGTTTTGAGAGTATTTGATACATATGTTGTCAGCGAGAGTTTTGAGAGTATCTGATACGTATGTTGTCAGTGAGAGTTTTGAGGGTATTTGATACATATGTTATCAGTGAGAGCTTTGAGAGTATCTGATACGTATGTTGTCAGTGAGAGTTTTGAGATTATCTGATACATATGTTGTCAGTGAGAGTTTTGAGAGTATTTGATACATATGTTGTCAGTGAGAGTTTTGAGAGTATCTGATACGTATGTTGTCAGTGAGAGTTTTGAGATTATCTGATACATATGTTGTCAGTGAGAGTTTTGAGAGTATTTGATACATATGTTGTCAGTGAGAGTTTTGAGAGTATTTGATACATATGTTGTCAGTGAGTTTTAAGAGTATTTGATACATATGTTGTCAGTGAGAGCTTTGAGAGTATCTGATGGTATATTTTGTCAGTGAGAGTTTTGAGAGTATTTGATATGTATGTTGTCAGTGAGAGTTTTGAGAGTATTTGATACGTATGTTGTCAGTGAGAGCTTTGAGAGTAGCTGATGGTGTATGTTGTCACTGAGAGTTTTGAGAATATTTGATACGTATGTTGTCAGTGAGAGTTTTGAGAGTATCTGATGGTGTATGTTGTCAGTGAGAGTTTTGAGAGTATTTGATACGTATGTTGTCAGTGAGAGCTTTGAGAGTAGCTGATGGTGTATGTTGTCACTGAGAGTTTTGAGAATATTTGATACGTATGTTGTCACTGAGAGTTTTGAGAGTAGCTGATGGTGTATTTTACTACCGTGTACATGTATCACAACAGTGGGTCAACAGAGAATTTTCTTTCTGGTCAGATTCCGTAGTAGTGCTGATTATCACGTAACTAAGGGTAGGATATCATATTAGCCCCGGTATTTGTATCCTCTCCCTCTTCCATACTTTATACGATGAATCTCATACTATTTATTCATAAACACAATGTATTTAGTTAATGCCCTCCTGACATTAGATAAGAACAAGTGTGATCTTTAGACAATCTGGGTTCGTGGGTAAACCGGACAATCCTAGGTCAAATTGTTTTACATTTTGGAAAAGTTATGCCATCTAACGTGTCTATTTTGAACACAGATTAGGTAGCCTGTCAATATACATTTTGCTGTATCACCTAGGTAATAGGTAAGGGAGAAAAAAGCCCGGACTTTCTGTTGATCCAGACTGGTACAATGGACACCAGATTTGTGATTGTCTTGATAATTGTTTGGTAAAGGTATTTAGATTTCACCTCATTAAGGTATAGGGAATTCTACATTTCTTTCCTGTTAAATTCTATATATACACATTTACCTCTGTGCTATCCACTGATGATGGTTTTATTCTGTGTTTTGCTGTTAATTACTATCTTCATGTAGATCCTACATTGATACAGGAAGCAGTAGATTAAATGACAAACCAGCATGCTATAAGATAATATGTGAAGCCTAGGATGATGGGTCCATGCGCTGCTTGATTTTGTTGGGTCAAACTTTGGTAATTTCTGTCACTGATTTTTTTTAAATTTTGCACAATACCTTACTTGTCAAAAGGATATCGAATTTGAGGGTACCTACTTTTGTTTTTCAGCAAATTAATACCAGAAATAAAACTTCTAAATTGTATTTGTCCTACAGTAATCTGGAAATAGTACAACTTTAATAATTCTATATTTTGCTATAACGGCGTAATACATATATCATTTTCATACATATGGTGTCCTTTATGTACTGTGCAATATATAGATTTAAATGCATTTTAATTAATAAAAACCTCAAGAATGTATAGTGTTAAGGTAGTAATGTTTAAATGTAGTGGGGACTCCATTGTATGGATTCTATTTTAAAGGAACAAAATGTGTCTAGGACTTTTCTTAATCAAAGGAATGATTATCTTCCAAAATTATTGTATTATATTTTGTTTCGATAGCGTACTGCAGGTAAGAAAATGGCTATTACAGGTGTGATTACAATTAGAGGGAGTGTGGGGAGGTACTTATAAATTCATAACATAGTAATAATAAAATAATAATTTGAGGTTCCTGTATACCGCTTTAATACAACCTGGTTCAGAGGTCGTCTCCAAGCGTTTCACAAATGATTATCCATAAGTTTGATGGTGATGTGAGCCCAGAAATAAAACTAATTGTGGGCGGAAGGAGTAACAAAACAGTTACCTCCCTTACACCTGCGTATACATTCTGGAATATAGAACCTGTTAAAAGTGAGCTTTTTTGATCAAATTGAAAAGAGATCATAGTAAAATCTTATTCCTGAGACTCTGAACTTGTAGACTTATTTCTGGATTTTGTTTACTTTGTCTCGGCTTGCCCTCGTTATATAACCATATTTTGTTCCTTTTTGTCAATAAATGTTGTTCCCTATCACCAGTATACCTGGGTAAACGTGTACATTGTGTGGTCCTCAACACCTAATGAGTATTGGTCATCTTGGTTATGTTACACATTCATCATCTGTAGTTACTGTGTACAGTAACATTGGGATTCAACTTACATGTTACTGCTTTCAACACTTGACAAAGTTTTATTTTATATATGATTCCTGCTGAAAAGGAAAAATGAAATACAACTGAAACATTGATAAATTTACTGTTATTTCATTGTGCTCAGCTTTAATGGTTTGCTTGTCATTAATTGATTTTAATGATTGTATTAATACTTTGTAGTTATATCTGTATATGTATCAGCAATGGTGACCAAAAAAAATGTCATTTAAAGACTATTGTTAGTAGTGTAAAGAATATTTAAACAAAAATTTCATGTATATGAACATATTATAGTACATATTCTTAACTGAATAATCATACAAGTACAATGTGTATCCTCACAGGTGGACTTTACATATACAACACTATATTGATGTAAATTTCTTTAGGTTAATTTCTGTAAATCATACCTGCCAAGTTCTCAACAACCAAATCAGGGTCGTATTTGGTCAAGCCTGCTAATTGTTGGTCACTTCAGTATGTCAACTTCACAAAGTCAGCAAACTAAGGAGAAAAGCATTTAAACTATCAAAATTTGATTTTTAATCTACTATAGAAAGTCTTTTCTAAGGAGTATATTTACATTGAAAGCTTTAAAAAGCTGATATTTAAACATTTTCAAAGTTAAGATAAGCTATGCAAATGCACAAGATTCTAACATATTCTACAATCTGTGGAGGTCATGGAGGTCAATGAGAGGTCATGGAGGTCATGTACAGATTGACCCACACAAATACAGGTGACATGGCAGGTATGGTTAAGTGTTACATTGGTGTTATAAAATACATATAATTCTACCTCGTAAATAAGGTTTTCCATTGAAATATGTGATACATTTTTTAATTGATGAGCGTTAATTGCCATGTGAGATAATATTGAGTGAGTCAGATTATAGTGATGGGTAACAGATATTGATGTAACAAAGGCTACATAGGTTTCCTGTTTGTTTGATTTTAGTACTAGTACCAGCCCTGTAGGAAGATTTAAAAAAAACTATGGACCCAACCTATAACGGTGTCATAATAAATGCTGAAAATATTAATTTACTCATATCCAGGAGCATCAGACTGGTGGAATTGAACATCTCTACATTTTTAGAAACTGGAAAATGAGAATGAATTTCATCCCCAATACCATGTGCATTCGGGTAAAATTTTCTGTGTACAAAACAAATCTAATTGACAATTGATAAAA